CTGGGAGAAGAGGAGTGCTGTCATCTGGGGGCTCAGCACCAGCGCAGGCGGTTGTTGGCCATCTGTTCCCAGCTGACCTCTTTAGAGAGGGCTAAAGCAGAAAGAAAAGTACTGTCACTTCAGCCCTCGTAGGGTCATCTGTCACTAGTCCCCCTTTCCCACTGAGAATCAAAACTAATATTTCTTCTTGCTTATTAATGAAGCACTTAAAGGTTGATTTATTGTTGCTTTTTATATGCACGGTGCTAATATTTTGTTGGCCGTCCTCAATTTGTCCCCCATGTGTTTGTGCTGGGGTTTTTTTTCATATTCCTTCTTATTTATTTGACCTAGTTTTGCATGCTGCTTTCTTTTTGAGGTGATTGGAGAGCTTGTAATTAGGGACCAGCTTGACTCTCCTTGATTAATGACTGAGCCTGGATATCAAGGGAACAAAGCTGGCACTTCAACGTCACACCAGCTCCTTGCCTTCACCAGTATTTACTCTAGAAAGGTCACAGAGCTGGGCTGTGTAAAGATGAGACAAAACCAGCAATAGGAAAATGTGGAGTTTTAGTTTGTCTGTTCTAGAAGTCATGAAAACAAGGACTGCTGCTGCTGTTGTGACTTCTTGCTTTATGTAGTATTCCTCCTACACATGTGGGGATCTGCATTGTTTAGATTCTTGGTGATTTCCAAGAAACAACACCTGCCTCGTCCTGTGGGACAGTATTTCTCAGTTGCCCTGAATGAATTGAAACCTGCCTTTCCAGAGTTTGCTGCTCTTTTTTTTTTTTTCCCAATTTTACACCCCTTTTCATCACCACTCTTCAGGCTGTTTTCTCCCTTTGTTATCTCAGCCACTTCTTTCTTACCGTTTAGAATCAGATCCTGAAGAACTTTCTAAATACTAATTTTCTTCGTCTCTATTTGAAAATGTGTGATACCAGATTTTGAGAACTCGTGATTACTTTGTGTTTCTTGTCTGTGCTGTCCAGACCCTCTTGTATGCATCTATTAATTCCTTCCAAAAAGCCTCCACTGGTAACTGCCTTTGGGTGATTATTTGCCAGTTCCTTACAATTCTACTTTAAAGATTTTCTTTTTTTTTTTTTTCATTTCTTTTTTCTCCCATCCTCACTGCTAGGAAAAACACCTGCACAGGAATGCAGGAAGGCCTGTTTTATGGTGAGGGAAGTCAAAATGAGAATACTACTTGAGCAGTTTGTAGGATTTCTGTCAGTAATAGCAAGTTTCACAACTGTCAAGAGAGGTTATTCCAGCAGGATATGAATTTAAGGTACAAAAGTTATTCTGGAATTAAGATATGGGGTTTAAACCAGACAAAGGCATCTGTAGACCAAGATTAATAATTCTGTGCTGAAGAGGTAGCTTTCCTGTGTTGTTAAATAAACCTTCAGCATCTTACTGATACAACAAAATTCATTAGGCTGTTGGGGTTTGGAGCAGTGTCACATGGAACTGGAGAGACAGGTCTCTGTTTTGTCCTCAATTACTGCAGGAACCTTTGAACTCCAAAACACACTCTACTTGAAGTTTGTTTAAGAACACAATATTCCCCACAGGTGTACTGCAAAATGCTATCAGAATGTCACATTAGCTCAAATTCAAAGTACCAGCTGTGGAAGCAATCCAATGCCTGATACCAACTAGAAAACTCAAGTTCTTACTTAACCTAAAAAATAAATCATCTGAGAGTTGTTATTTTTTTTAAAGGGGATTAATAAGCCTTTCTGCAACAGGCACTGACAGACCAGAGCCACAGTCCTCAGGTTGTTCTCACCATGACCTGCAGTTCCTCTCATTTTCCTGTTCTGAGAGCTCTTAAGCACATGCACTTTAAAGATAACCTTGGTTTAGGCTTGGATTTAATAAGCTGTTTGCAACCTGTGAAAACAACACTTGATTCTGTGGTAAAACCCTTTGCTCATGAAAATCCCCCACGCTTCTGATACATCCAATCCATATATATTAAAAAGGCAAACTCCTACAAGGATATTCTGAGACACTCCTGGTTTAAAACACGAGCTTTGTGTTCATAAATGTTTTAGAGTATTTCCTGTAATAAAGATTAAACTGTCTCTCAGGAAGTAAAGCTGCAACACGTGCCTCTGACAACGTAATCGAACTTTATATAGCAATGTTTTTATTGTTTTCCTTTTGTTTTGCTCTTAGATGACTAATTTCTGACTAGTGACAGCAAGAGTTGTCATCTGAGGGGCCGCTTGGAGCTTCATTTCTATTTTAAGCATATTTAAAGCACATGTGTTCAGAAGTGTCATTATGTAAATCAGTTTTGAAAATTGAACTCCATTAAAAATTATAGTATATCATTTTCTGAGCTAATCTGAGGCTATTTTAATATCAGGAGTGAAAAACCCCCACAACCAAAACCCAGGTTTTGGGGCAGAGTGGCCCTTCTACCTCAGATGTTGTAATTGATGTGATAATATGATTATAAAATGTCTCATATTTTTAAGGGAGCAAAACGTTTGCTCTTCTTTGATTTGTATTACCTGGAAACCAAAGTTCATAGTGGAGTCCAGCATGAGGATTGAGACTTTGGCAGTGATGAAAGTTGATCCCCAGTGTTGGACACTTGAGGTTTGACTGGACAAGGTGCTTTGGCCAAGAAAGGTTGGACCAGATGATCACTGAGATCCCTTCCAACCTGGTGTTCTATGGAAGGAACTTGATATTAAAAAAAGAGGCCTAACAAGAAAATAAATACTTCTGTAGCTTAAAGAAGACTCTGCATATAAAGCAAAGTGGTGGTGGTTTGTTTTTGTGGGGGCTTTTTTGGTTTTGTTTTTAAATACTACCCTGAGTATTGAAGGGGTTTGAAGTGTAGTTGTGGTGTAGTGGAATTGCTGTAATGCCATGGGTTTTCTTAAGTGCTAACAAGAGGAAGCCAAAAAGTTTCTCATTTTGCACTGACTTGTCTCATTCACCTGCTTTAAAAAAAAAACACCAAAAAAAGGCTTGAACTTCCCCTGGCAATAGTCTGACAGTTTGGGAGAGTTCACTGGAACACAGGCTTTGTAGAGTCTGGTGTGACTTGGGTAGGGAGCACTGAAAATGAAGGGACTGGATGTTGTTTCTTTGTAGTTCCTGAGATCCTGGGGACTTCAGTTCTCCTCCAGAGCTTAGAGGAATAAAGGCTCTTATTATGGTTTCAACTCAGTTTCTTTTGGCAATGTAAGTTATCACTTTCTGCAGAGCCCTAGAAGAAGCCTTTTAAAAGTACAGTTTTAAGTACCTTTTTCTTAAGTGCAATTTAACATGTGTTGCAAACGCCCACCTGCAACTCCTGGGAGCAAACGTTTCTCAAACCTTGATTTACAGTGTGAGCTCTGAAAGGGGTGGCCCTTTGGAACTGGAATAAAGCTGAGCAGTCATGCAGGTGATGAAATTTTGGCCATGAGAGGAAGTGATTCAGTATTTGAAGTACAGATATCTAATGCCATTTCAGATGTCCTGACCCCTCCAGTGGTGCACCAGGCACTCCCAGGTGTGCCTGACCTCCAGCTGCTATTCCAGTCCCTGGGTCTTGCCCATATATCTCACTTCTGCACATAATTTGGGTACTGTGAAGTGTCTAAAAGGGCACTATCACCTAAGTTTAGACCTGTGGAATGCTGAGTGTAGTGTTTACTGGTTTGGGTAACACAAGGAAAGGGGGGGAATCTGCTTTGATTTAGTCTGGAGCTCCATGCAGGATCTGTGTAAGCATTAAAGCATCTTCAGTGGCCAAAGTCAGTATTTTCAGGCAAACACCCTTCAGCAGCTGAAATCTCAAATTTATTACAATGTTCCTTTTTTATAAAAAGCCAAACTATGTAGGAATAGGCAAATTTGTTAAAAGGGAAATGAAAGAAACAGTTAAATTCAAAATGTTTCAGGGGGAATGTTTGAAAACACGATGTGTGAAATGTCCTTCAGCCAAAGGGCTGAGACACACACAGACCTGTTGTGATTAAACAATTAAGCAGAGAGTTTTGTTACTAAAAAAACCTTTTTTAGCAACAACAGAAAAAAATCTAAACAAAAAGAAGGGGGGGGGCTGTAGGCTTTGGCAAGTGAAATGTAAAGCAGTAGTGAATTAGGCTAGAAGTGGTCTTGGGGAGTAATTGGAAGACATTGAATCTAATAATAGTGATAGTAATGGCTTCAACCCATCAGAATCAGCCTTCTCAGAAGATCTGTAAGGCTGATAAATGATCAGGACCTGAAGAGCTGTCAAGGATGATAAAATAGTTATAGAGAAGTAAATGAATTATTTGCATTGGTATTTATTGGGAAGGATGTTAGGGAGGGTCACTGCTATAACCATTTATTACAGTGATGGACATAGCAGAGATAAGAAGCTTTCAAATAGGTTTTCTTCTCGATTTGGGACAATTCAGGTTAAATTTTAATCAAGATGCTACTGGAACAGTCCTATTTTGTATTAATGCAAATGATTCAGCTAGAATTTATAGGATGAACACAAAATATGATTGGATTTCTTCCGGATCTTAGTGTACAAGTCTAGAGAACAAAATTGATGTGTATGAGAAATTAATACAGCACATGTTTGATCAAAAAAAGAAAAGTAATTCAAAAATAATGTACTCATTCATGATCTTTAAAGTATATTGTGAATCACAGCTGTTGAAAGCCAGCAAAACTTGCACTAATTACCTAGGGTTATTCATTTTTTTTCAGTTTTAAAGTTTCTTTTCCTAGAATATGCTTAATATTAAGTAGTACTTGTGAATGATTGTGGAAAGAGGTTCCAAATACAATCTATCCTTTCTGAATTTTCATTGCCTACTGGTTTATTTGTTGTTAGTTTCAATTTTGGAACAGCTTTTTTTTTAGTACTTTTATTGCAGCATTAGAAGCAGCCTTTATTAGACATGAGATGTAGAAAGTTGGCAATAAAAGTGTGGATTGTTCACCTTTCTAGATAAACTTGGTCTTATTGTAAATCTCTTCCCAACCTTTGTTCTTATCAGGGAGAAAGAACAAGAAACACAAGAAGAGGAACATTTGATGGAAGAAAAGAAAAAGAAAAAGCAGGAAGAAAAGAAAAAGAAGGAAGGTGCTCAGAAAAAGGTTTGTTGGTGTTCCTGTTGTAAATGAGCCCTTTACTCCAAAGAGTAACCTGCAGGTGTCAATGGATTACACTGTTTGTTTTGATTTTAAAAAGGAATCGATCACTGTCTTTTCCAGTATAAAAATTAGGCATCATAAAAAAAGTGGGGTAGGTTCCAAACAGATAAAAACTTCACAGGTTTTGTGTCTAAGCCAATAGTGTGTGTGGATCCAAAGGGATGGTGGACAAGTTCACAGAAGTTACTTCTGCTGAGTGTTAAAAAGTTCACAAACATAATGTTTGGTTCAGAAAGCCTCTGTTTCTCAAGAGAGAGAACACTAGATGGGTAGATGGGGTCACTGCCATACCCCTTGCCATACTTTATACTGTCTCTTTTGCATCTGCTTTTGACATCAATCAGACAGAGGTAGCCATTCTTACATTTCTAATTCGTGGAGTTGAATTAACATTCTCCAGTTCTTAACTGGAACTAATGCCTGATTTGTGTAAGGACTTCCTGCACAAAGTTAGGCCTGCAGCCCTATAATTATTAGGTATAATTTTGAGTATTGACAAATAGTTGATTTGTTTTGTTCTTTTCTTCTTTCAGGCTGCTGAACAAAAAACCAAAGGTAAATTCATGTTTATTCTTTGTGAACTGTTTGATATTTTTATGAGCTTGTTTAAAAAAGGAGTGCTTCTGCTTTTCATTCTTTCTGTCTGTTTATTGGGGAGAGTATATCTTACTAGGATAGTTCTGTTCCTAAAGTTTTGTTGGAGGATCTGACTATATGTTGGGTTTCTCAGCTTTTGCTTATATTGCTGTGTATCCTATAGCAGCTTTTTGACAAGAATATATGGATTAATTTTCTGTGAAATGTGACACAGCATTTGTCCTCTTTTTTTCTCTGGTCTCAGGACAGATGTAGTTCTCCATTTAGTTGTTAGTTATTTATCTGTTTCAAAGGCAACTAATGGCCACTCTGCCTCTGCATGCACAATTCAACTCAATTTAGTGGGCAAACTCAGTTCATTGAACTTACTAAAAACTATTCCCCCCCACTGGCACCACTGCCCATTTTTCTTTCTTGGGTGGGTTTTCTGCTTGGGCAGAGACTGGGGCTGGTTTGCAGCACAGTCCCAGGAGCAGCAGAGGTAAGGACTGGATCCCCCTTTGTGGGCACTGAGCTCCCAGGTGCCCTGGGAGAAATCTTTTTGTCTGGTCTGTCCTTTTGGCAGCACACAAAACTCAGGCTGTGGAACAGTTCTGAACCAGTTAATATGCACTGTTATTTATTACTGGGTAATTAGGTGACAGGCAAGTGGAGCTTCCCAGATTCCCAAAGACTGGGAATTAGAGAAGAGCCAAGCCTAACATAAGGGATTGACTAAACAACTTATGTTTCAAACACTTTTCATGTATTTATACAGCAGAAATTAAGTATTGCCTCAGTAATACTGAATTCAGAAAAATAAAGACCTGACTACGTGATGAAGACACTGTAACAAGTAATTTATTGAAACTCTGTCCTTTTCTTTCCAAGTTGTTCCTGTGTAGAAAGTGTGAATTCAGGAAGTTTGAATTCTGTTGCATCTGCCCTGTGAGATCTCATGCAGTTTATAACAGTGGATTTTGCTTCCAGAAGGCAGCAAAAGTAGCTAAATCCCACCAAGTCTTAGGCACATGAAAAACCTTTGGAATTAAGATGCATGAGAGCGATTTCTAGCTAAATATAATGTTTCTGTTTCTGCAGTATTGCATGTTTTGTTCCCTGTATCAGCTCATTTCTGTGCGAAAAGATTTCTCTGTTCTATAATGGATTATAATGACTTTTTAATATCACAATTCAGTGGCAGATGTTTTTGCTGTCAGAGTAACTGCTTCCATTTTCACGTGCTAATGCAGTGGCTCTTCATTTCTGTTACTAGTGAGACTCAGTGCCTTCTGCTTTGCCTCTGTGGGATGTTACTATTTCTGTCTCTTGTTGTGACAGCTTTGCTTTTAATTGCTCGAAACTGCCAAGTTTAAGTTTTTAGATAATAACTCCAGTTTTTCAGGTGTGCTTGGGAGTTTGTTTCTTTCAAGTATTTTTGGTGCTCTCTCCTTGTATTTAATCATCCTGTGCTCCTGCTATAAAATATGAATTGGGAAGAAGACAACAGTGAATAAAGGTAGTTATCTTAGAGATTAAGTAGTTTTGGCATTTATTGCTTCATCTGTCAGAAGCAGTGATGCACCTTTTTGTAGTTCAGCGTCCTTGGAAGGAGTTGATCTGTCCTGCAGAGAAACAAAACCTCCTGTTCATCCTCAGGGCAATGGCTGGGGGTTATTTACAGTCCTTTAAGTGACCCTTCTTTGAATTTCCTTTGTCTGGCAACTACTCATTTCTTTTAAGGTTGCTCTGTGGGAATGCTTTTCCATTTCATGGTACAGTTCTTACATTTGTCTGTAGGAGGGATGTGCACAAGTTTACGATAGATAGCAGGAATTTCCTAAAATACGGAAAATATTAATACAAAATTAAAGAGAGGAAAAAGTTGACTGAACCTTTTTTCCTCAGATATTCAAAGTTGACCGTAAACTTTATTGCAGTGCTGCACCAACTATTTTATTTGGATACATTTTCAAGGTTGAGTGACAAATGCTGCTACAACTAAAAGGCAACCACAGGGATTATAATTGAATTTAATTAATTTATTTCCTATCTGGGACACAGTAATTAAATTAGTTGTAAAGACAGGATGACACAGTAACACTGAGTGGACTGCATCAGGTATCACATGGCAGTAGGCAGGATGTATTAAATCAGAGATTAAAACTGGGCTGAAACTGAACATTTTGCAAAGTGTAGATTTTGGTGGGTGAGATATAAATATGACTTAATGTAGCTGCTTGTGGTAACTTAAAAGAAAATTGCTTCATTTTATGCATGTGTCATTCACTTCTGCAACTGGGTTGCCATAGCAGTGAGAAATGCTTGCACCAGTTGGAGAAAATAAACCACACAACTGGAAGTGGGATATTGAAGGGTTTTTCAGTTTGTTTTTCGGCTGACTGGAGACAGTGTGTTTATATTGTTCCTTGTTCGCTCTCAGCAGTGTTTGTGAAGGAAAAGACACTTTGTTGAAGTGGGTTGGAAGGGCTGAGCTTGGGAGTCGATAGTGAGGGAGGGTTTACCCTTTGGGGATGTGCTGGAAGCCTATGCTCTTATCAAGGTGCTTTTTAATTCTTCTTAATTAGTAGTAAGATTAATAATTAATAGCAAGTAATAGTAAGGTTTGCATTTATTTGTCCAGCACAAAGGCAGACGTGGAGATGTGTCCCATCTAATAATGAGCTCGTTTGCTTTGTACACTCTGATCTCTGTAAGCTGAGATGGGGCTGTTGCATGTTCAGTCTCTGGTGAGGCCTCAGGAAAGAGAAACTAGTAAGGAGGAAGGAGGTTTCCTGTGGGGGTGTGTGTGTGGTGTGTTGTCAGTTCAGTATTGCCCTGAGGCCTCAGCCCGAGCTGAATGTTTCCATTTGTGATGTGGAGCACAAACCCCTTCCAAGATAAACACACATTTCCACCCACAGAGGAAAGGTATGTGGCTGCTGCTGGAGTTACTGGTCCAGGGGTAGGAAGTGCTCCCTCACACAGCTCTTGCATCTATTTAAACACATTATTTTTTGCTGTTTAAACAACGATCCAACCCTTTAAATCTTCTCTACATAACAACTCCTTCATTTTCTATTTTTTTTTCCTGCAATGTTGTTTGCCAAAGTATTTTTGTGAGGCTGAATCTTTTATAAATACCCCGTTGGCAACAATTCTAGGGAATGTGTGAAAGGAAGAAAGATTGAAGAGCTGATAAGTAGCTGAAATGTTTCTCAATTACTTGAGAACAAATGAAAGTAGTCTTCCTGTTCAGCTGAAGAGGAGCGCTGCAGAATTAGATGAGGTGAAATGAGCAGGTTTTTATTGCACATCCAGTTACTGTTCTTTTATGGTAATTTTTTGAGAACAGGACTATTGAGCACTGGCTATTAGTGTTTATTTTACATGTGTAAACTCATGCCAGTTTATATGCACTTGATAAAGAAACTTGGTGTATAAAGGCTTTTGTAATGAAAACATTCAGCTGTAAGTACCAATAAGAGTTCTGTTCTGTATGGTAAATAGTCACTAGTATGGGAAATGGCTGTTATTTAATAACTATAGGGGACTTTAGGGGAGCTGTGCTCATGATAAATAGTATGAGGTCAGTGTGTTTTGCTGCCTGCTTCTCTTCCAGCCATCCTGCTGCAGGTGTAGTTGGCACACAGGTGATCAGTTCCTTGGCTGCTTTACTCACACCCCAGCTGAATACACTTTGTCTAAAGCAAAGTTGAAGTGCTGATATAAAATAGTTTAAGTGGGTTGTTACTCAAACATCCACCATGGTAATTGAAAGGCAAAGTATCCACCCAGGTCTCCAGCATCACCTCTGGTGAAGGTAAGTGTTGAATCTGCAAACAGAGAGTTGAGTCTATACCACTTTTAGTTTAAAGTAGGAAACCAATATTTGATTGGAAATCTTAATCTGGACAATATTTCTGTAAAAGCAGAGATGGCCAGTCTGCCTCTTGGACCTTCATGATCCTTGTAGGTCAGTCTTTGGCATGTTCATGGCATGGGACCAGGAAGAGAGGTGTGGGCTTTCCAAGGGGAAAATGGGAACTTCAGCTCAGTGCTTGTGAAGCAGGATTGCAGAAGCTGGAGTAGCTGCAGTAATCCTGGGATTCAGCAGCTCATCCAGCACTGCCCACCCTCTGTTAAAGGGGTACAGTGAATCTTGAGCATTGTTCCTTTCCACCCATGGTCTGTTCTGGAGTTTTCCCCCTCCCAGGCTGTCTGGGCCGTGTGTCTTGGGACTCTTCACCCTGTCATGATTTTAATCAGGAAGGTTGCCTGCAGACTGGAAGATTATTCTACCAAGGTTTAGGCTTTAATATGTTTTATTTTGAGGGACTTAAAAGAACAGAAAGCACTTAGCAGTATGTGGTTGCTTGGTAAACCATTGTGATGTTGCAAATGTTGGCATACTTTCTTCAGGTTAGCTTTAAAATTTGCATAGCATTTTTTATCCCACAAGCATTGCTGTATATTTTACCTGGAGCACCATGGTCAACTGTATTATAAAGGAGAGTTAAAGGGAAAAAAGAATGGGTGAATATATCTGAAATACCATCCCCTGCTCTGGCATTTCTATTTAAATGACAGGAATAGTGGCATACCTGTCTTAAAAGCCAGGCATTTCCATTTCCAAATTAGCCATGTAGATGGTTGCATAGTTTTAAATTGATTCTTTACTTACCCTCCCCAAATGGGCTGTTTGAATGTTCTCTGTTGGGCTCATTTGGATGTGAATCACCTTCCTGTAACCTCCATTCTCCTCATACAGAAATGCAGTTTGTGTACACTGATAATGTGTTCTTTCTGGCTGTGGTAGATGTGACTGATGTTTAATGGTAGTTCCATAGAAAATAGGGGAAAATGAAACTTTTTAGAGAATTTCGTTGGTATTTTAGGTGGAATTACGTGTGTAACACAATTAGTCTTTTTTAAAAAGTAAAGTCTTGAGTTTTTCTGGTTTGTGTCGTATTATTGTA